AATCACATTCCTCCTTCCCTGTCTGACATAGATGGCATCCCTGACAGCAGCTGTGCCACCACAGGATCAAGTGGCAACAGCTGGTTCCCCAAGGAGGAGCTGAGAAGGGGGGCTACCAGGGCTCCTGGAGCCAATAAATGAGCTTGTATTATTTGATCTCAAAAGGCTAGAGCAAGAAGGGATAAAGGTTAGCCCACAGAATAGTGTAGCTATATGGTACCTCAGGGAGTGATCAAGTCCAAATGGTAATGTACAGTTGGGAAACCCAGGCTGCATTCCAAAGGAGTTGTCCACCATCACCTTCTGAGAGGAACCTGAAGGATACTCTCTCCGCCCAGCAAACATGAAAGTGGAAAGGGCCCTTTAAGAGCCATCTTGTGCTTGGCCAGAGCCCAGAACCTAGGCCTTTGATTTCCTCAGAGTCTCTGGCACTGGCTGCAACAGCAGCCGCAGCCAGAGGAGGAACTGCAGCAGGCTGGGCTGAATGGGGAGCTCAGCCTCTGACCTCACCCTCTGTGATGTCTCAGCCTGCACAGCCTTATAAGGAAGTGCCCCAAACAAACCAAGGAAGCCATCTCCGGCCTGGCCTCCCACCCTGCCCTGCTGTCCCAGGGCTATATTTACCCAGAGGAGGCCCCAGAATAACCTCCCACTTGTCCTCATGCTGGGGTAGGGGGTGCTGCCCCTCCTCATTCCCTCCCCTGGGTTCTCCTCCCTCAGAAGAGCTTCCTGTTGTCTGACCTCATCCTAGATGACCATTCAGTGCATATTTAGCGAGTACCCACAGTGCCCTAAGCACTATGCTGGGCTCTGGAAGATAAACAGAACAAAGTCTTTGCTTTCCCTGGAACTTTCTAAAATAACAGGGTCTTCTGAGAGGTCACAAACACTGCTTTCCCTCTTACTCTCTTGCCTGTTCCTTTGACCTGGGTTCTCTTTTCATCTTATAACACTCTTACTAGGTGATCTGTACGTCAATGGTACCTCAATTCTTATCTCCATTCTGCTCCTCGAACCTGAGTTCCAGGTGCATACATTGGAGTCCTGACGTGGTTCTGTAGGATAAACACAGGACCAAAAGGTTGGTTTGAACCACAAGGTCTGCTGTTCAAACTCACCAATCACTCCTTGGAAACCCTATACTGGGTCACTATTAGCTGGAACCAGAACCACTCTGTGGCACTTAACAACAACAACACCCCCCTCCCTCAAGAGGTCACAATTTCCCCTGAATGCTTGGTCTCAGAGAATGGCCCCACTATCCCCCAGTTGCCCAGGCCACACCATCCCTATCCTGTCTCTGTCTCCCACAGTGGATCGCCTGGTTCTGAAAGTGGACTTTCCTTATCTCTCTCAAATCCATCCCTGTCTCTCCATGCCTACTGCTGCCATCCTCCCCTTTCTGGAAGCCTGCAGTCACCTCCGTGACTCACACAGCAGCCAGAAAGTTTTATTTAAAATGCACACCTGGTCCTGTCACATTTCTACTTAAAACCCTTAAGGGGATCCCCATTTCCCTTAGAAAGAAGTTCATATCCCCTGGCTGCCTGCTGACCTCTGATGCCCCTTCAGTCTCACTGTGAACCCTCTTCCCCCTCTTTCTGTGCTTCTGAGTCACTCATGCCTTCTTTCTGCTCTCAAATGCCCAAGCTCTCTCTTCTTACCTCTACTTTGCACATGCTGTTCCCTTTGATTACAATCCTTTTCGTCTCCCCTCTTCCCCTCTCCTCTGTCACCAACTAGCTCCTGCTCATCCTTCATGTTCTTAGAGCAGCCTTTGATGACCAGCCCCTTCCACCCTCCCCAAGCCAGATTAGATGAGGGCCCCTGTTCCATGCTGCCACAACCTTTCTGTTTGCAAGTATGATTTCGACTTAGAAACACTTGTTCAATTAGAAGGGAAAACCCTCTGAGCTAGGAAGTATGTTTTCAGCTGCTTGTGCCTGTGCAGTGCATAGCACATAGTGTTTGCTGAAAAATTATAATCACTCCTATTCCTACCACCAGGAATAATTCTGTTACCATCTAACCCCATGTCTCATGACTTCCAAAGAGAATATGACTGCCACTAAACATTCCCTTTGGAGTCCTGGTGTGCCACTGTGGGTTAATGAGCTGGACTGCAAAGTTGGTTTGAACTCCAAGGTTGGCAGTTCAAGTTCACCAGTCACTCCTCAGAGACCCTATACAGGGTCGCTATGGGTCAGAACCAACTGGATAGCACTTAACAACAAGTATTCCCTTTAGGAAAGTTCTCAATTTTGTCTAACTTACATCCTTCCCCCTATTTGGACTCTGTTTGGGTGTCCCTGCATGGTGTAAATGATTAAGCATTCAGCTGCTAATCAAAAGATTGGTTGTTGATATTTTGAATTGACCCGTTAATGACAAAAGTCAGGAAATAGAGGTTCTTTAGTTTCCATTACTTTTCCAGGATTCTATTCCTTTTGTCTTATATTGGTTTCCTTATTAAATAGAGCCACTCACTGCTGTCTTGCAATCTTTTATATTAAAATGTTGGGTCTTTAATATCTATGATTTAATAAGTAAAAAAATAATTTGCAAGATCTCTTGATGATGGTCATGGGAAAAGACACAAAATTGAAGGTAGTACATCACAATGTTCTGAAAGTGACTGAACAGTATCTTCCAAGGGCTTCTTTGAGTTATAAGCAAAAATGACTGTATGACAGTGCTAAGATAAAAAAGCAATTTTTATGTAAATCTTATTACCAATGTTTTGTATGGGTTTTTTTGTTTTGTTTTTTGAGAACCCCACACAAAAAATATTTGTATTCTTGATTTCAGGCTGCCTCCAATAATGAAGATCAATAAAACTTCCCAAGAATCTAAAAAAAAAAAAAAAAAAAAAAAAAAAAGATTGGTTGTTCAAATCCCCTCAGAGGCATCTGGGAAGAAAGTCCTGATGATCGGCTTCTGAAAGGTCACATGGATCACAATTCTACTGTGACACACAGGGTCACCAGGAATAGTCATTGTGTCGATAGCAGCTGACTGGGTGGTTCTGTAGAGGACCAGAGACCCTGGAGTGGGGTAGGATGGGCACTCGGACATAGGAAGGACTGTTTGACTCAGCCTCTGTACTTGGCTCTTACCCAAGCAGACGTGCCCAAGGGCTTGGAAGACCAAGCACAGGGTGTCTCTGTCCCTGTGAAGGGGCAGGGAGGACCCCTACTTGCCTGAATGGCAGCCTGGTGGGATCAGACAGGGCCTTGTTAACTGGGGATACAGGAAGGAAAGAGCTGAAGCCTAGGCTGCCAGGAGGGTGGGGTGAGGAGAGACAGGATCCTGGACCCTGAGGGAGGGGGTATGCAGTGCTGGTGAGGTGGGTGTCTGGGTGCCCAACAAAGAGACTCCTAGGTGGACATGGAGGAAGGCAGACAGTGAGATACAGTCTGAGAGACTCTTGTCCACCTGTCCTTGGTTTGGGGGTATGAGTGGAGGTCCAAGGGGCTAGGACTTCAGCCTTACATCTTTCCCTGGCCTTTTGCCCTTGGGCCCAAGGGGAGGAAGAGGTGACTCCCGGATTTGGGATTATCTCCAAATACGGAACCTTTGTTTGGTAGGCCTCTTTCCCATCCCCACCCAGGATATTTAGAGGTGTTGCCAGATTTTCCTTCCCTGAAGAATTGAGCTGAGAAATGATCTCTATTTGGGTATCCTGACTTCAAGGCCTTCATCCCACCTAATCCAGGAACTCCTGGATCTCTCCCTGCTCTACACAGGGCCTCAGGGAATTACCAGGAAGCAGAGAGGGATGGGTGAGGGAAGAGTCTGATTGGTGGACCCTGGCTTTAACCCGTTGTCAGCACAGCTCAGTTCCCAGCATGCCCCCTGGCTCTCACCCTCACAGCATCGGTCCAGTGTCCTCCCACCCCACCTTCTCCTGCTTCAGTATGTGGGAGAAGTCCTATTATAGACCTAAGCTGCAGCCCTCTGGCTTCTCCTACCTTCCTCCTGCCCTCCCCATCTCTGAAAGTCCCCCAAATCACCTGGTTCAGCCCCCTCATTGTGTGGCTGAGTCTGAACTCAGAAGAAGCTGAATGACTGAAACCTCCCTCTCCACTCACGGTGCTCTGACCCAGCCATTGCAGGCTAGACAACTGTTTGGATTTGGGGACTAAGGGCTTATTATGCTGGCGGCACAGATGGGCCAGTGGAGCAGGCATGCAGGCACAGGGGTGGCCCCACGACCTAATCTCTGTAATCAGCAGTACTGTGGGCAGAGATGATGGCAGGCTTGGCCAGGCACTGAGGTCACCTGGACAGGCTTCTCCAGGATCCCTCCATTGCTGCCTGGAGCCTTGGTGTGTTGCCTCCATGCCCCTCATGAGATCCCCCAGGTCCTTCTCTCCTCAGGAAATAGCCCCTCCCCAACACAGGCATCTCTCATCTCCTCCCCCACAGTTCTTCTGCTCCTGTGCTGACCCTGAGAACACCCTTGTCCCCCACCCTCCATCAGAGAAGAGTCTAGACTCAGTAGGAGGAGGCATCACTTTATTCAGGCAGAGATGATCCAATCAAGAATGAGGAGGATGAAAACCCCCCTCACCTCCCAGACGGCCCAGGCCCAGGAGTGAAGGACTGCTGCAGCCAGGAGTGGGCAGGGCTGGTGAGACAAACACAGCCCCCTCCCCTCAGAGGAACCACTGGGCCTCTTGTTTTCCCCAAGTTGATGTGAGGGGAAGGAGATGGGTACAGAAAAGGGGGCCTAGTGCTATAGGGCCTCAGCTGGTTTAAGCCTCACAGTGCAAGCAGGATGTCCTACTTTGCAGGGTCCAAGGGGCAGGTTTTCATTCCTAAAGGATCCATTCTTGGGAAAATCCCTTTGCCACACCCCATTTCACCTTGACCAACACCCAGACCTCTTGGACAGAAACCATAAATCAAGAAATCATAAATTAAGGGTGCTTTTCCTGAGCAGGGAGGGGACTTGGGGACAACCCTCCCCCTCAGCCCTCAATGTAGGAGGTCTTTCTCTAGTCCTCCCCTGAGGACCAGGAATCTCCATCTTCTTCCCTCTGAGTGAACTTTAGGAGCTGGCCCTGTCCCAGGCGAAGAGGAACCCCAGCCCATGGGGCCTTTAGGGAACTCCCATCCTCCACCTCAAAGGGGCTTCCTTGGTCCCCCTCAGGAGCTCCTGGCTTCCCTGGACCACCTTCCTCTGACTGCTCCAGACTGCTCACCAACTCCCCATTTACGTGCTCCTCCTCCCCCCAACTGGGACCTTGGCCATTGACACCAAGGGTTTCCCCAGCAACCTGGTGGCCCGTGTTCTCCTCCCTAATGGGGTTCTCTGTGGGGCCAGAGACTTTGTCCTCCCTTTCCAAGGCAACCAAGTCAGATGCCTCCTCTGAACTGGAAGGCTCAGCACTGTCTTGGGACTCAGTCTTCAGGGCAGTCATGGGGGTATCAGCTGTCATGGCCTTTAAGTCACCATCCCAGGGAACACTGACCCCCACAGTGTCAGATTCCACGAGGTCCTCACTCTGAGTCTGCAGGCTGCCCACAGAAGACCCTGGTCCCCAGAGGCCAGCCCCTAGCCCCCTCCCCTCCTCTTCCTCATCATCCGCTTCCCCCTCCTCCACACTCTCTTCCTCATCTGCAAACCCATCAGACTCCTCATCCCGATCCCAGGCTGCAGGCTCCAAGAGCAGCTGGGCCACCTGTCTCAGAGGTTCTGTTGCCTCCCCCGGTACCCCAGGAAGAAGAGAGGCCTCTGTCCCCAGGTCCTCAAATTCCTCAGACAGATCAGAATCATGGCTGTGCCCCTCCTCCTCATCTCCCTCCTCCTCTTCAGAGGGTTGGACCTCAAGGTCCTCAGAGGCCAGGATGGTGGGATCATCATTCTCCTGTCTGGCCTCCCCCTGAGGGGAGGGCCTCTCCTCTCCAGCAGGATCCCACTTGGAAGAAGCTGGGGACCCAGTAAAGAGCACCAGGGGAGTGGAGTCAGGAAGGGTCTCCCCTAGCTCATCTGCCTCACTCTCTTCTCCACTCTCTTTCTCCTCCTGATGGAGACCCTCAGGGATCCCCCCAGAACACAACTCCTGTTCACTCTCCAGATTTTCGGAGGCCAAAGCTTTATCTTCCCGGCCCCAGCTAGCCTCTTGGTTCTCCTCAGTCTGGGGCTCGGTCCCAGAGATATCTTCAAGGAGTGAAGTAGGCTCCCAGGGTTCAGGGGGCCTTAGGCTGGGGGGCTCCAGCACTAGTTTTGCATCCCCTTCAGCCTCCTCTAGCCTGGACTGAGGGACATCAGTTCCATTAAGGCACAGGGTCTCAACAGTGGCACCCTCCTCTGTCCCACAGGCTGCCTCAGACTTGGACTCGTCCCATCCCTCAGATTCCTCCTCAGATTCCTCATGCTTCTGGGGATCTCTGCACTCCCTAGGCAGTTCGGAGAGCTCTGATTCTAAAGCATCTGCTTCCTTTACGTCCCTCCTAGATTCTTCCAAGTCCTGTACTTTCTCTTCCTCCAAACTTTCTTCCCCTTGGAGAGGCTTCTTCACTTCCTCCTTGGCCAGGTGACCTGGGTCCTCTAACCTTACCACCTCAAGCTCTAGTCCCTCCTCAGTTCCCACAGCAGACTCATCCATGGCTGTCTCTGACCCCATGGTGATCTGTGGGGAGACTGGGTCACCTCTTGGAACCACATACTCATTTTCCAACATGGTTTCTACCACCTCTGGTATCCCCTGGGAAGCTTCAAGGCCTGAAGCCCCAACCTGATCTAGTTGCCCTGTGAGGTCCTGGAGATCATCAGAACCTGCTTCCTCCTTGGCTTCCTCAACTGAGACCCTCTGCTCTTCAGGCCCAGGGCTCCCTGGGTGCCTTTCACCTGTGTCCCATTTGTCCCCTGCAGCATTCAGCTGTAACTCTACCTGCTCTTCAGCCTTTTCCTCCCCATCAAAGCCATCCTGCTCCCTCAGGCCCAGTTCTACTTCCTTCTCATCTTCCACTTCAGCCCTCCCAGGTGGTGAGTCCTGGCTCAGCTCTTGGTCCCCTCCCACATTTTCCCATCTCTGCTGATTTGCTGACATTGGCAGCTCCTGTCCCTCCTCTTCCAGATACCTCAGTGAATCTTTATTCTGTCCCTTCTCTGGGTTCTCTTCCTCTTCCAGATATCTTTGACTTTCCTTGTCCACCTCTTTTGAAGATTTCAAATTTTCTAGGTCCCACTCTTCCAGGGGTCTCTGTGGTTCTTGGTTTTCTTTTTCTAGGGCACTCAGTGTCTCCTGGGTTTCTTTCATAGACCCCAGTGGTTCTTGAATTTCATTTTCTAGAGGCTTCATTGTCCCTTGATTCTTTTCTTCTAGAGACCAGAATAGCTCCTGAGTCTCTGAAGGTTTTAATATTCCCAAGACCTCTTCCTCAGACTTTAATGATTCTAGAGTCTCTATTTCTAAAGATTTCACTGCCTCTACACACGCTTCTTTTAGAGACTGCAGTAACTCTTGATTCTCTTTTTCAAGAGGCTTAGATGTCTTCTGGTCCTCTTCCCCTAGGAACCTCAATGGCTCTTGAGTCTCTTTTTCAAGAGATCTCAATGTGTCCTGCTTCTCTTCTTGAGACTCCAGTGGCTCCTGGTCTATATTGTCTAGGGTCACCTGATTTTCATCTTCTAGAGACTGTAGTGACTCTTGATTCTCTTTTTCTAGAGGTCTCAGCATCTCCTGGTCCTCTTTTTCTAGAGATCTCTGTGGTTCTTGGTTCTCTTTTGCTAGTGGTTCCAATGTTTCTTTGTTCTCTATTTCTTGAGATCTCAGTGGTTCTTGAATCTCCCTTTCTAGAGCTCTCAAGGACTCTAAGTTCTCATTTTCTAGAGATCTCACTAATTCTTGGTTTTCCTTTCCTTGAAATAAAAATGTCTCTAGATTATCATCAAGAGACCTCAGATGTTCTTGATTTTCATTTTCTAGAGATTGCAGTGTCTCTGAATCCTCTTTTTCTACAGATGTAAGTATTTCTGGAGTCTCATTTTCTATAGATGTGACTACCTTTTCTAAAGGTTTTGATAGCTCTTGATTCTCCTTTTCTAGAGCTTTTGGTGTCTCTAAGGTATATTTTTCTAAAGACCTCAGAGAGTCTTGATTCTCCTTCTCTAGAGAACTCAGTATCTCATGGCTCTGTTTTTCCGGAGACATTAGTGGCTTTTGGATTTCTTCCTCCAGAGACTTCAGGTTTTCTTTTTTCAAAACACGCTGGGGTTCCTGGATTTCCTCCCTATCCAGATCTCCCTCTTTTTGCCATGTTTCCTGCCTTAAGCTGCTAGGGAGCAGCTTCTTTACCTCTATGGTTGCTTCTTCCTCTGCCAGTCCCCATATTTGCCCTTCACCTTTTTCCTGAGGTATACTGGGCACTTCAGATCCACTGGGCTCACAGTCTTTGGCCTCTAAACTAGGGTGATCAGAGTTAAGGGGTGGGGCCAAGGAGACGTGATCCTCAGGAGACTGGCCTGGACTGGCCTCTTGCTGCTTGCCCCCAGGCTCCTCTGGTCTTGGAAGGATGTTAGCAGGAACAGTCACTGTGACTTCAGCCCACAAGGGCTCTGGAGCCTTTTGCTTCCCCCCCTGTGACTGGAGGAGGGAGAGTGGGGCTTCCTGGGCCTTGATCTCTGTATCTGTAGCAGGGCAGGGAGTCTTGGGTGTGGGTAGGATGGGGGTGCTAGCCAGGGTGGGGGTACAAGCCTGGAGGAATTCTTGGCTCTTCAGAAAGGTTGGCATAGGTGTCCTAAGGGTATCAGGCAAGGGTGAAGCAAGGGAAGTTGGATTCAGGACAGGAAGCAAAGGTCCCAGACGCCGGCTTTCTGAAGTCCCAGGAAAATGCATCTCTGACTTTGGGTCTGGAAAGGCAGAGGGGAAAGAAACAGTCAGTATGTATGGTCAGGGAGGAGAGCCAAAGAGCAGCTACCCCACTCTGGCAAGAATGTCCATGGGCACTGCTCCTGACCCTTCACTGGCTGGGCTGAGTGACTTCTCACTGCCATTAGGATCAACACTAGGACCGGTTCAGCTCAAAAAAAAAAAAAAAAAAAAATCACAAAACTAGATCTGGGGTATGAAGAGCAAGGAGGGACCGAGTTTCAGAGAGAGAGAACCCATCCCCTCCTCTTACCCTGGAAGCTGAGGGAAGCTTTGGAACCACTGCCAGGTGTCTGCAATCGGGTATTCTCAGCCTCCAGCAGGGTCCTGGGGATGAAGGGGGAAAAGCTGGGTTAGCCCTCTGCCCATAAGCAAGACCACCTGGAAAACTCAGCCTCTCCTCAGACTCTGGCACTGAAGGCTCCCCCTTCACTTTACCACTAACACACAAAAGTCACACATGGGTAGATTGGCTGGGCAGCAAACACCATTGCATAGCCACAAACTTCACACAGTCACACACATATTTGAGACACAGAGTTTGGCTCATAATCATAGTGACAGATACACACACACACACAAACACACATCACTTAGACATGTCTCCTCCTCCTCACCCCAGGCCAATGACCTCATCCTCAGTGTGGGGGACTGATTCTCATGCTAATTACTACTGCCATTGTCCAGACAGCCATCTGGAGGGTCTAAGAAGGGGGGCTTCCCAGGGGAAGTGGGAATTCTCAGGCCGTTCCCATGGGATGGGCTCCCCCCTCCTTCCCTGGGGGGTACCCAGAGCTGGTCACAGACAAAAGCAAATGAATTCAGCCCCTTCTGGCCAAATCCTTTTCATGTCTCAAAAACCAGTGGCTAAATTCCTTGGGGCCTGCCCAGCCCCTTCCCCTCAGTGCTTGATTAGGGGTAAAGGCTTTCATCTCAGGATCTCAGAGTACTCTAGATCCCAGGCTCCTTAGGGTAATGGATGTCTTTATGTCCATGCCCCTGCCTCAGTATTCCACGGGGCTGGCTAGGGGTGGATAGTCAATTCAGTAAGTTGTGCTGAACACTCACTGTCTGTTCTTCTGAGTCTGACTAGTTCTTCCTAAGGTCTCACCTCTGTCCTTCCCAAGTAGGTATGTCATTCCCTCTGAGCTCTCTCTTCTGTGGAGGTGGAGCCACTCTTTTTCTTTTTCCCCCAGATTGTCACTGATCTTCCTTTCTCTGGACCCTCCCCTCCTGAACTTGTCCCCCAGGTTCCCTAACTTGTTTGCCAATGGATTCTGGGGACACCATCCTAATAGCTTATTTGGCCCTGGCTCCCTCCCAGAGCCCTTCCTGAGTTGCAAAATCCCTTCCCCAAGTTTAAACTCCATGATCAGATTCTCCCTACAGTTAACTTGCACAGTTTCCCTGATAGACTGTGCATTTACTCCAGGCCACATAGTCAGTGAGAAGCAGTGTCTCCTCAGTGGCAGCAACACGGAACACAGCACAAGGACTTGAGAGGGGCCAGACCCAATCTCCATGCTGGAAGGAGCTTTGGAAGTCACCCAGCCCATCTCTCCTCCTCCAGATGAGGAAACTGAGATCCAGCTTAGGTGGCAAGTCAGTGCCACTACCTAACATCGCAATCTCTCTTAAGCCTCCATCACCTTAGTATGAGCACACACAAAAACATGGGGCCTTTCAGCTCTTCAGGAAAGGATTTGGATGCAGATGTGCTACACTTGTGCCATCCCCTTTCCTGAAGCAGCTCCACTCAGCAATATCATGTCTCCTTGGGTGATTTTCTAAGCATGGGACATCTCTCTCTGGTCCTTAGTCCATGGAGAAAGCAGGTGGGGCTCAGGTGGGGCATGTACTGGTATGGAAGCGACTGGTCTAGGTTCACAGAACCTGGTGGTGGAAGAACTGCCACCACCCGTGGCTTTGGGCACTTGTCAGCTAAGGAGTCTATGCCCAGCATATGTGCAAGTCTGTATGTGCCAGTGTGCTTAGAGTTCATCTGCACCTGTATGTGGCCACTTCCAGGCTGAGGGACATCTTGAGATGTGCCAGCTGCTGCCGACCTTCCAGGACCTGGGCAATCTGGTTCTGCAGTCCCTGTTTCTCCTGCTCCAGGGCCTCCACTGCCAGCTGCAGAGCAAGCCAGAAGCAGTCAGTGAAGGGGGAGGGTGCTTCCTGCTAACTGTCTGATGCCTCTGTAGAGACCCCCTGTATCCCTTATCCCAGCCCCTGCCCAGAAAACCCCCTCTGGAGCCTCAGAGATGAGCACAGTGGCCTCTCTCAGCCCTCTCCCACGGTCTGGCTCTTCCTTGAAAGATGCTGATTAAATGGTAGCACATGCTGCTCAGAATTCAGTTCCCACAGGAAAGGGGAGGCAGGCAAGGGAGGAGAAGGATGGGTTACAGAGTGGAGGAGAGGGGGAAAAGTGGAAGCAGAAGGAAAAAAAGATTAATCAAGAGGCCTGGAGCCACAGGACTGAAAGTCAAACAATCCAGTCCCATCACTATCTCCTATCTCCTGCTCCTTGTCAGGCCCTCACCCCCTCCACTTCTCACAAGTTCTGGAATCTTTCTCCTCTCTGAGAAGAGTGAGGAGGTGACCATGGGGAGACCTCTGTCTGGCTCAGGCAGGAGGCTGTTTTCTCAGCTGCTGGTCACAGCTGTGCAGTGTGAGGGGGAGCAGCTGTCCCAGGCCTCTGGAATGCACTCCAGGGAGCTTAGAAGTTGTAACATGGGAGAGGGGATGGAGCCTGATCATCTAGAGCCCCTCTCCACTTCCAGTCAGAGGGAGGAGGGCTGTTAGAAACTTGGAGATTCTGAGGAGCCAGGCTGAGGGGGAAAGTCTTAGGTATCTTCAGAGTGAGAGCAGACCCAAGGGAGGGGTCCAAGAGGCCACCAGAGTAGAAGATGCCACACAAGTGCTGAGTAGACAGGATGAGGGGGCCGCTGCAATGGGGTCCTATCCTAGTCTGGGGAAATTCCTTCATTTCCACTCCATTCTAGAAGGAGCTGTGAAAGTTTCGTCCTGCAGTACCAGGGATAGGGTTTCTGAGAAATGGTCCAAGAGTAAGCATCCACCCTTTCCTCCCTTCCCCACAGGGACTTTATTCAGGGAGCCTGGCCTAGGCCCAGGACAGCCTCACCTGGAATTTCTCAGTGGCATGAAGCCGCTCCTGCCAGCGGCCCTCCAGCCTTTGCTCCAGCGCAGCCCTGCGTTCCTGGAGCCCCCCACGCTCCGCCTGTAGCTGCTGCAGCTCCAGGCGACCCTCGCGGGCGCCCTGCACCGCACGGCCCAGCTGCTCGCGGACCTGACCCAGCGATGCCTCCATGTGTGCCACACGCTCCTGGTAGCCGCGCACTGCCCCGCGCCACGCCTCGCCCAGCCGCTGCGCCAGCTCCTCCACCTCGGGGGCTGACGCGGGGGACCCGCGGGACGGCGGGGGGCCACGAGGCGCACAGGCAGCTTGGGCGTTCAGGCTGGCGCGCTCCTCCTCATGCGCTGCGCGCAGGACCTCGAGCTCACGCTCAAGATCAGCCGCCTGGCTGCTCAGCCAGGTCCCGGAGCATTTCTCGGCCTCAACAGCCCGCCGGCTGCGGGCTGCCTCCTCTGCCGCCCGCTCCCGGGCCAGACGCTGCTGCTGGCACCGACCCGCCACATCCTCCAACTCCTCCGCCAAATTGTCGCGCGCCACTTCGGCCGCGTGCTTCTCCCGCCAGCGCTGGTCCACGAGGGCCCGCAAGACCGCCAGCTCTTCATCTGCTCGGGCCCTCCAGGAAGCGTCTGCAGACTGTGCCCGGAGACCCCCGAGCTCTGCGCTCAGCAGTTCATTCTGCTCCTCTAGTGCCTTGACCCGGGACAGATAGATCTCCAGGCGCCGGTTGAGCTCCCACATCTGAAAAGACTCTTCTCCCAGGCAGCCCTCCATTCTGCTCATCTAACCCACCGAGGGTAGAGAGATACGGGGCACCGGAAGACCAGAGCAGCTCTAAGACCTCTTAAAGTCAAAGGGAAGAGAGACCAACGGCGGCAAAGATGAAGCAGGATGGAGCGTGGGTAGTAGTGGGGCGACTGGAAGTCTGGAGAGGAGCGAGGCTATTCATACTCCCGCCAGCCCTGCGGGAAACGGGGCGGGACTAGGACATTAACTCTTTAGAGTTCAGAGGAATGGTGGCAGCCTCTGCCCTGTGTCACCAGAAAGTTGAGAAGTGGGACCAAAGGAGGAGCCAAGGGCTGGGAATCATCCGATGACATGGCTTTCTGCTGGAGAAGGTCGTGAGGAGGGGCCATAAAAGTGATAAAAGGAGATGATGAGCCCTTGAAGGGCATGCCAACGGATTCAGGTCTGGGGAGGGAATTCTTGTCAGTTACTCGGCACAGGCAAAGTCACCAGAGCAGTATCACTTACTCAATTCCTCAGCTCCTTGTGCATAAAATGAGAAAAATGATGGAAACCTCATGGGACTCCTGAAAGGATGGATGTGACCACATTTTTTGTAAATAGCGAATGTTCACCCTTGTGAGATACTCGACAGTATTCAGAGAGGCTGAGCGACACTGCCTGGAAAGCAAGAACAAAATCTGATATTGGGACACACTATTGCCTCAAAGTCTCCAACAGGAAATAGAGACCAGGTATAAGGACTATATTCCCATTATTCACCATCATTCTTCCTACCACTCTTCTAAATAACCCAAGGCTCATACATACCCACTTCAGTAGTGGATGGCCTCCCCCAGTTCTCAAAGAAAGACACCTCATCCTGTCCCCCATGTTAGGGGCTTTTTGGGAGCATAGGGTGCCCCCTCGTGGCTTACAGATCAGGCCACCTAGAGGAAGTAGAGAGAAGGGACAACTGTTTCTTCACAACTTGCCCATGTTTATTGAGCCTTTGTGATGTGTTGTGGCACTGTGGATTAATGTGATGAACTGCAAAGTTGGTTTGAACCACAGGGTGGGTGGTTCAAGCTCACCAACTGTTCCTTGGAAACCCTATACAGGGTTGATATGGGTCGGAATTGACTCAGCAGCACTTAAAAACAACACATTCCACGCTAACATTTTACTTACATATCTAACTTAGGAGTCCTGGTATGTAGCACTGCAGGATAAGCACTAGATCACTAACCCCAAGGCTGGAGGTTCAAACCCACCAGCCACTCTTTGGAAACCCTATTCAGGATTGCTATGAGTCAGAACCAACTGATGGCACTAACAACAACAGCCCTTAGAGAGTAGTACAGTTCTGAAAATGGAGAGCTCTCCATTTTCCCAACTACTCCAACTAAGGATGGGAGTAGTTGAGAAAGCTTTGTAAGGAGGAGGAGGTCCTTGAGCTAGGCTACAAGGGGCAGATGAGACTTGGGGGTTTGTAAATGGGGAGCAGGAACAGGAGACTCAGAGATGAGACAGAGGGGGCATATGGGGGCAGGGATCCAATTGAGCACCTACTATGTGTTAGTACCACAGCAGAAGCAGGAACTCTGCTACAGCTTTGGAGGAGCTCACCATCTGGTGATGTGAAGTCAGCAGTGATGGTGATTTCATAGTCTGATGGTGGAGGTAAACATAAAACGATGACTACAATACTTAGGAAGGAGGGGGTTTTCTGGATAAAGTGTACAGTATGAGCAATGTCCAGGAGGTCACATCACCAACCTCTTACCCACCCATTGAGAAATCTGGCTCCACCCCATCCCTGTCCCCAGGCCAACTGGGCTTCAAAATTCACCACCAATATGCAGAATGAGGAGTCCTGGTGTGGCACTATGGGTTAATACTCTGGACTGCAAAGTAGGTTTGAACCACAAAGTTGGGGGTTCAAGCTCACCAACTTCTCCTTAGAAAGTCTAAACAGGGTCACTATGAGTCGGAACCAACTCGAAGGCACTTAGCAACAACAACAACAACAATGTAGAATGAAGGCCTGGGAGGGTCCAGTGGAGTATGGAGTGGGAGGATTGTCTGAGGGCTAGTGCAGATTCAGAAACTGAGGAGCCAGCATACCCAGGCTTCTCTACACTCATTTCACAATCATGCTGTTTAGTTTGGGCTGGGTACCTCCTATGGTCAGGAGAACTGACTTGAATGGGCTTTCACCTCCTGGCTGTACGAAGAGGGGGCTGAATATTTTTAAGTCCCTGGGATCTTGAGGGGGTCCCCTGAAAAGGAGAGGTGACATTGGGGTGGGGATTTCTCCCCTAGGCTCCTCATTCTCACCCAGAAAGAAAGCATTTGCACTGTGTTTCATGCAAAGAGCATTTGGTCTGGCTTTTGCATGTTCTAATTGAATGACCTTGGACAAATCCCATAAACTTTCTGAATAAGCCTCAGTTTACCCCAGACCAAAAGTCTATTCTAAGTCATAATGATCCTGTAGGACAAAGTAGAACTGCCCCATAGGGTTTCCAAAGCTGAAATGTTTACAGAAGCAGATTACTACAACTTTCTCCTGAAGAGTGGCTGGTAGATTTGAACTTCTGTATTTCTGCTTAGCAGCCAAAAATGTAACCATTGTGTCACTAGGGCTCCCACCTATTTGATAAAGGGGATTAATACATACCCTTATGTTTGTTCAGAGGACCAAATAAGACCAGGTAGAGATGGAGGCCTTAGTACAAAGCCTTTTTGAGAACCATTATGAAGAAAGCCCTTAAGCTGGAGGAAGCTCTCCCCCATGAACCACTCTTGGTGAACTTGGGGAATGTGGGGAGCAGAGATGGTTTAGAATGCTGGGGAAGAGTGTGGTATTGATTTTCTGAAGGCAGGAGAAGGCGGATCCCAGCAACCACAGCCTGGCGGAGCTGACAATGATGCTTGTTAGGTACCATTGGTAGGTTCCCACTCATAGAGACCCTGTGTACAACAGAACAAAGCATTGCCTGGTCCTTTACCATCCTCACAATCAATACTATATTTGAACCTATTATTGCAGTCACTGTGTAAATTCTTCTTGTTGAGGGTCTTCCTCTTTTTCCACTGACCCTCTACTTCACTAAGCATGAGGTTCTTCTTTAGGGATTGGTCTGTCCTGATAACATGTTCAATGTGTATGAGATGAAGTCTCACTATCCTCGTTTTTCAGTCTCACTTTTCTTCTGGCAGTTCATCATGCTTAGCAAATTCAAATAGGTAACAAGCTCTTTGAAGTAATTAGAAAGAAAGAAAAAACCCAAAACAACAAAGCAGCCTCCCTGGGGCCACCAGGCACTCAATGGGCATAAAATGGGCCAGGTGACAGACTCCCTTTCCTCCCCAGAGGAGGGTTACCAGGACTTTTGTGGGGCCTTGACAGCATCTCTTATCATGTCCCTGCATGATACCACAGCGGGTTGATACAAAGTAGATTCTGTAGTCATCCTCAGAGATGTCCCTGAGCAAGCTGAGGAAGGCTCTGTGGGCTAGCCAGAGTTCTGTCCTTGGTCCTGACCATTAACACCTATTATTAAAGACTTGAATGAAAACATAGAGAACATATTTATCAAGTCTACAGATCAGGCAAGACTTAAAGAGCTAGAGTTTGACAGAATAGGAAAAAAACAAACAAAAAAAAAGAGCCAGATAATTTTAATGAGGATAAATGTAAAATTCTGCATTTTATTTTTAAAAAATCAACTGCATAAGGATTTGTTGTTGTAAAGTACTGTTGACAGTGTACAGGGTATCTAAGGAGTAGCTGGTGGGTTTGAACTGAACTGCTGACCTTGCAGTTAGCAGTCCATTGATTATCCTGAAGCTGTTACACCAGGATTACTGCATAAGAATGGGAGTGTGGAAAACCAGCAGAAGAGCATGTCTAGTGAAGATCAGGGGGTTTTAGGAGACTACAAGCTTGGTATGGATCAGCACTGTAAGGTGGTCGAATAAAAAAATTAAAAGGGTCTAAGTGATGAATCCTGGCATGCCTTTAAACAAGGGGGAAAAAAGAGATGGGAAGAGGAAGACCAGATGTTAGGAGGATGACAGCTTTGAGATGATCTGGACTAGTGATCTAGTAATATAGAGGGGGAAAATTGAAGCTTAGGAACCTATCAGAGGAGCAGAGGAAGGGCTCAGTGACCCCTCCTGGGAAGTCTGGTTTGGCTGGAGCGTTTTGGAAACTGGCAGGACCTTGCTCTTCCCGAGCCACATGTGGGAGAAGGTTTGGATCTGGCGCTGGCTCTAGAAGGCAGAAATGTTCCTTCTTGCTCCTCCACTTTTTACCTCTCCCCACTGAAAGGACAATGGGACTGGCTTTTCTGTCATCTCTCTTCCCTCATGTCCACAGCAGGGAAAATTATCTCCCCTTTCTCCATCCTGGGAGTAGGGACTGAAGGATGATGCAGTGGGGCGGGAAAAGCACTGAACAGGAAGCCTTATCTTACGATGAGAGCTTGGACAAGTCAATTTCATCCCTCTGAGTCTTGGTTCCCTTATTAATTTATTCAAATAATATTTTAAGCAGATATGGAAAGCCAAAGAGACCTGGTGGCACAATGGTTAAGAATCTTGCTGCTATAAATGAAAGTTTGGTGGTTCAAACCCACCAAATATCACTAGTGTTGTTATCCCTCCTGTTGTTGTTAAGTACCATTGTTGTTATATGTGACTCATAGTGACCCTATATAGGGTTTCCAAGGAGCGGCTGGTGAGTTTGAATTGTCAACCTTGCAGCCAGCAGTCCAGTAATTATCCTATGATGCCACACTAGGACTCCTTGGAAACCCTATAGGACAGTTCTACTCAGTCCTTTAAAGTTGCTATGAATAAGAATCAATCAACAGCAATGAGTTTGGTTTGGTTGGTTATTAAAACCACAGTTGACATCTAATTAGTGTTTGTCGCAAAGGAATCAAGAAGACTAATAAAGAACCCTGTCCCCCAGGAGCCTATGGATGTGTGGGAAGATAGATGTGAACCATAGAGTATGATGGAGGTACCAACAAGTG